TTTTCTCCCTCTCCCCATCTTCCAATAATTTCTCGTTATATGTTATCTGTCAAAATTTTTTGTAAAAAATTTCTGTACTTAATGTTTTGACGTGGCATGATTGTAATTTTAATGGAAAAAGGATGGATCCTAGTTCATTTTCACTGACATTATTGGAGATAGCAGTGCATCATCTAGCGATCATGTCAAAATGGGAAAAAAATTATCCCTTCTTTTATGTTATGTTATCAATATATACTTTAAGGAAATCTATAATGCAGACTGACCTTGAGAATTTTGAAGTCCTATGCGACTTAATTATTATGAGATCCTTAAATATAATTTTTTCACAATCAAAACAATACTTAAATGTTTAAATATATAACATATTTATATTTGAACGAAGACTTTGTAGAATCCAAAATACATAGGGCTCGTTTGGCATGGTTTTTGCTTTTTGTTGAAGAGCTTTTGGATGAAAATACTTCAATTTTTGTTTGAAAACTAATTTTTAAAAACACTTCCTGTTTCGAGAGTGCTTTTAGAGAAAGCCCCGTTGGACCATTTTCTCCTAAAAGCTCTTCTAGCTACCAGAATCACTTTCATAAAATTAGTCAAACGGATCTCAAAAGCTCCTCTAGATTTTTCAAAAGCCATGACAAACGAGCCCTTAATCATTTTCTTGTTTGGTTTCTAAGCAATTTCTTCATTTCCATTTCCATTTCCATTTCCATCTCCCCAGTGAAGAAGCCTTATTGGTGCCTTCCCAAATAAAGATCCAAGTGCTATCCACCAAGTTTTTTTTTCTGAGGCCCCTGCAGTTTTGAGGCTCCATTGCCTTGTGGGCTTTGATCCAAGGCTAGCTTTGCTATAATGTTTTCCTTCCGTACGTGACACTTTATATGCAACGATAGCAAAAATTTTTGAAAATAAAAAACTACTATTCATTAGCCCCAATTTGACATCCATTAAAATGTGTATTTTTTTTGGGAAAACGAGTTTTGAAATAGTAAATTTTTGAAGAATGCGTGGTTAAAAAATAGAAAAAAAAAAATTAGATTTATGTAAAAAAATGTTTTATTACGTGAATGTGAGGTTGAAAATGAATTTGAGAAAAAAAAGTTTGATTTAATGGTTGTCAAATAGAGAACAAGCATTTAGAGATATAGTATACATCTAGTTCGAGCCTTAAGACCACTTTTGAGAAAATCACATACTTCGTTCATTCCACATTCCCATTTATTTTGCAAAAGGATCCCCAAACTTTTTTAACATTTGCTATTCTGTGAAAGAAGTATTTTGTAAAACCCTTCTTTCACAAAAGTCCTTTTAATGACCGTATGTTCTTATTATTGTATGTTGACAATACACCTCGATTAGCTCTTCTATAAATTTGATAAATAAGATAAAACAATTTTAAATAATGAATTTACATGAAAAAATTAGGAAAAGCAAAGAGAATTTTGGGTACGGAGATTCAAAGAGATGATCAAATCCTATGTTGTTTTTTGCATCAAACTCCTCGTGTGTTAAAGATTGTGAAATAAATTTGGCATGCAATGATATAACTCTGTTACATTGCCTTTAGCAAATTATTTTATTTTGTCTAAAGATCAATCCCATGCTAAAGATGAGGAAGTTGAGCATACGAGTAAGATACCATATTCAAATGATATTTGTTCCATTATGTATATGGTGGTGTGCACTATGCCTTACCCAGTTTTTACTGTGAGTACTCTTAGTAGGTTTATGTCAAACTCTAGCCCTATTCATTGGAGGCCTTGAGATGGTTACTTAGATACTTGAGGGGAACAAGTAATGCAGGTGTAACGTTTGAGATTAGTACCTAGGGTGTGAAGTTTAAGGATTTTGTAGATGTTGACTATGCAGGTATATGAATAATAAAAAGTCTACTACTTCTTATGTGTTTAGTTAGGACAAATATTTCATTACTTAAAAGTCTCTAACACATTGTTGCATTATGCACCACCAAATTTGAGTATATTGCTACAACTGAGTCAATAAAAGAAGCCTTATAGCTAAAAGACTTGCTTAAAGAACCATGTGTTCAGTGGCGGAGTCAGCATTCGGCGAGGTGGCGCGATTGCCCGTGCTGACTCCATTGGAGTTGAATTTTTAGTGAAGTTTGTGAAGCTGTGGCGCCATGGATGGTGTTGAAGGAGGGGTCACCAAGCATAGCCAAGCCATGGAGGAAGAAGGTAAAACGTTGGGCCTTTTTTAATTTTCTTGTGGCCATTTTTTTTTTAAATGTTGGGTTTTTCAGTTTTCAATTGGTTTTAGGCTCATAGTTAAAAAAAAAACCCAATAAGAATTATATACTTACATATTACAAAAACCACCAAAAAATCAAAACAATCCCCCCACCCATAGCCCCTACTCCAGACCGCGACGTCGACATGACTCCCTTGGCCGCTGCACCAGCTTTCATCGGTGGCGGCAACTCGCTCTCCGGTCCCTCCACCTTCATTTCCGTTGACAAGACTTTGGGTGAGCCGGTGACTGTTATTTTATTTTTTTGTTGATTTTTGTTGTTTTAAGTATTTTATACCTTAATAATTTGTGAGTTTTGTTATTTTATTTTTTGTTGATTTTTGTTGTTTTAAGTATTTTATACTTTAATAATTTGTGATAAATTGGTGTTGGGAATTGAAAATTGAAACTTTAATCATATTTTAAAATTAATTTTAGTTACGTTTAATCTTTGACTAACGTTCAATTCTAATATAGAATATGGAACGATTTTTCCAACTTAAACGAAAGTCCAAACCTAGTTCTTGTAGTGGTGCATCAACCACTGCTTCTAGTCTAGCAAATAATTTGTTAATCATTAATAACACAAAGAAGTCTCACATATCACGTATTTTATATTATTATTTCAGATTGCGTTGAACTATATTTTGATATAAATATATGACTATTACATTTTAGTGCATTTTAATATAGATTAAAGAATTTTTAATATTATTTAATTCAAACGACATTGCTATATGGCCGTTGACCGATTGCCCTAGCTGGGTCGAAGTTCTAGATCCACCCCTGCAAGTGTTTAAATGATGATGATGTTGTATATTCAGATAGTATATCATATCTACACATCGGTAAATTTGAGTACAAGTCAGTTGAGTTCTCATTAGTTTTAATCAGGTTGAGTATTTGCTGACTTGGGGTTTGCCTTATTTGCATGTAATGGATAAAGATGCTAGGGGAGAGGGACAAGGAAGCTAAGGTCTTCAAGTTCTCAGTACAAGGTTTCACTGACATCAAGGTGAATGTTTGTTGGATCGTGTTGCCAAAAATACCTTGAAGGCGATGATGAGGAAAAAAAAAAAAAAAGAGCCTCGCTTACTTCATAGGTCAAGGCTCATGATCGAAGGCAAAATAGAAATACTTGATTCCATTTGAAGAAGTCCAAGTAATTCCGGACCCAGGTTGTGGTTCTTTCTTGAGGAAGGCGATTTAATATCAGCATTGGGAGGAGATGGAAATCCATGGTTTAGATCAAGCTCATTTATACTTTTGGGCTTGGTCTAATTTATACAGATTAATGATTTGAACTCTCAATTCTCGTCTCTCTCTCTCTATAAAGCGGTGTCTATCTTCTCCTCTCTACATTTTCTCTACGTGAGATTTTTAGCTTTCATCCCTCTTTCTGAGTAATATTATACTGAGAAACTCGTGGTTCTCATGTGATTAGGATTGTGTTTGCCTACACTAAAAGGACCTTGGGTCCGTTTTTAGGGTTGTTACTTTGTGAGACGAGAGCATATAAATCCTAGTCTTTTCTTTTCATTTTTAGACAGAATAATACAGGATCTCATGAAATGTGCTATATTGGCAACACATCTTTAATAAGAGCATTATGTAGTAAGGACATCATTAAAAACAAAATAAGTTCAAATTTTGATGACCTTCCAATGCAAATAGTCAAAAATGAGAAATTTAATCCTTGTGTTTATGTTGTGTTCTACACTGTATAAAACATATACTAGATGACCTCTATAATGTTGTTTTCCTTTGTACATGGTGCTCTCTATAAATGAACGAGCACAAAAGTTTTTTGAAACCAAAAGATTGCTAATCATGAAATAAGTTGTCCCTAACATAAGATGACATTTCATCTCTCCCGATGTGGTAGCAAAAGAAGCAACAACTTGGATCACTTGCCAGTGCTAGCCCCAAGTGAATCGAACCACGTCTTAGTTTTCTATGAACAACTACAATACTAAAAAGTGATAATGTATTTAAGAGTAGAGTATTCATCGATTTCAAATCTTATAATAGTCGAAGAGCACCTTCAACTTGTTCATTCTGCATTCCCATTTATATTGCGAAGAAGAGCACCTAAATCTTAACCGTACTAAATATCTATGCTCCTAATAGAACAAATCATTCATGTAAATTTTTGTGTTTTATTTATACTTTGCAATTACAAAAATGCTACTTGTACATCACAAATTGTACATAAGGGGCTACACCCCTCTCACATGGGGTGTGGGACCCATTGCATAAATTATTTTTTAATCTAAGCGGGTCCTATTCTCATGTGAGGGGGTGTACACCCCGATGTACAATGTGATGTACAAGTAGCAAGATCGTTGCAATTATTATCAATGAATAGAACTATATTGAATATTCAGAATATACATATAAGATAAATTTTCAATCCACTTTACATTAACATTTTTCAGTGTACGACATTTATTGTATAATCAAAATTCAAATAATTTCCATCCCGACCATTTCCCCTCGACAAATCCCAAATCTTGAACTAGAAAAAAATCCAATCCAGCATCCTCCTCTTTCTTCTAATCTAAGCTAAACCAAAATCTTGGACCCCAAATCTAGCAACCACTCACGCCGCATAATTCCTCTTAACCACTCATTTTCTTGTAGTAATAATCAGTTTCTGATCCAAAAATTGCTTCCAGAAAGATAAAATTAAAGAAAACCCAACTATGAAACGATCTCAAAATCGATTTTTTCACAATAGAAAATGCCCAATGTCTGTAATCTTGATTTCCATTTCGTCTCTTTTACTGATTTTCTTTTTAATTTTATGGCCTTTCAAACCCAATAATTCTTCATTTCCAAATTCGAAGTCTGTGAGCTTAGATTCCATTAATTCCTCGGATGAAGCAGATCCTCTATTTGTACCGGAATTACCGCGATTTGCGTACTTCATTTCGGGTACAAGAGGCGATGGCGGGAGGCTGAGGCGGCTCCTTCAGGCGTTGTACCATCCCCGCAATTATTATTTAATTCACCTCGATTTGGATGCCACTGACAGAGAAAGGCTTGAGCTTGCAAAGTATGTGAAGTTTGAGCCAGTAATGAGGGAGATTGGGAATGTAATGGTGATAGGGAAGGCTAATTTGGTGACTGACAAAGGTCCCACGATGATTGCGTCAACGCTCCATGCTGTTGCGATTCTGTTGAAGCAGGCCAAGCGCTGGGACTGGTTCATTAATCTTGGCGCTTCTGATTATCCACTAATTCCGCAGGATGGTTAGTTTAAATTTCTTTTGGTGGATTAATTGTTGAAAAGTTATTACATCGTGGCTGTTTAATGTGAATATTCTTTGTTTGTTCTGTCGGTGAGACAGAGTTACTAAAAACACTCGGGAATTTTGTTGGGTTGGTGGAGTTTTCTACTTGGTACTGTGTAATATTTGAGAATTTTGAGGTTTCAGCATTGAACTTCAGTGAAACTGCTTTAGTTTCAATGACTTTGATGCTCATTATAAGCAAGTGATGCACGATGGGCTTAAGTCAGTAAAGGAATGCAAGGGGAATATTATTGAACTCTGTATTGTGTCCTTTGGAATATGGAGGATCATTTATTCTATAGCTAACTGATGGGAGTCTAATAGGATCCTGTTTGACTAGGAATTTAACTTTTTGATGAGGCTGTGCATGAAGCTTGTCTTCTTATCTTATGCGAGAGGTTTTTAGTTTATTCTGCGAAGTTATAATCCTGCTCTAAACTGGGCTCTGGGAACCCGTTGAACCATGGACTTTGGCAAGGATGTTGACTGGTGAGTCATGGTTTTGGATTTCAGGTCAGCTCATGGTCTTAGATAATGAGGGGGACACAAACAGAAGATCAAACTCTTGTCAGTAGATATTATGAAATGAAGTTGATCATAGGTATGTGGTACAGTAAGAAAGGATGAAAGCTGGTGACTAAGCTGGACAAAGCCAAAAGGTTAGATTATACTGTTCGTCAGTTTGTATGTTAGAATCATGTTAGTCCTAGGTATATGGTATAGTACAAAATTAGTTGATGATGAGACATAAGGTTAGATCAACTGAGGTGATTAAGCCAGACAAGATCAGAAGATTATGTCAAACTCTTGTTTTGATATTATAGAATCAAGTTGGTTCTAGCCTCTAGGTAAATCATTTGGTAGGAAAGGATTATCAAGTGGGAATGCTTAACGGCTCAATTGAGGCAAGGTAGATTGGAATATACTTTGATTGGTATTGTACAGATAGTTAATATGTTAATTTATTCCTTAAGTTATTGATATCATGAGAACAACACTGTTATTACAGTTCTAGGCATACAAGCTTGACAACTGAATTATTTTGCATGTAATTGTGGACCATGGAATGGAAGCATTGAGTTAATCTAATAAGTCAAGTACATTGAGGGCTGAATCGGTTTCAAGGTCACAAAAGAATTGCAAATTTTTTATTCTTCCTAACTATATTTAGGAATTTAGCTTGTATCTGTTATATGTGGTTACATAGCTCTTTTCAATTTAACAACCATCATATGGTGTTGAACTTCTTTCAGCTTAGCATCAAATTTCTTAGGTGATTTGAAAGGCATAATTTTTTTAGATTTTTTTTTTATGTATAAATGAGGCCTCTTACAGTGTGCTCTAGGCGTATAAAAGAAGAACTTTGCTTTGTTTTACTTCTGTTGCTAATATCCTTTCATATATCAATAAACTACTAATGAGCGTCTAAAGGACCTATTCATTTCTCTCATGACACGAACTTCTATCAGCTGTCTTCTTACATTTGTTTCTATCACTTATAGTTTATATTCATCCTTTTCATCGAGATATTCATTTTTTTTTTAAATCCAAGTATGCTGTTATATATCTTTACCTGTTATTTATTTTGTGTCATGGTAGCTACCATGCTCATGTAACAGTACCTCGCTAAATTAGTTGATTTATCCATGTCGAAAACAATCTTTAATTTTATTCTTCTTCCAGATATCCTGCATATCTTCTCATACTTGCCTCGAGATCTGAATTTCCTGGAGCATACAAGTGACATTGGTTGGAAAGAGTGAGCATTCAACTAATCCTCAACTTGTCTCCTTGGGATATTGCATCTACTTAAATGATTTCTTCATTGGTTTTCATTGTTGTTAGTTGTTCTCAAGTTCTTGTGGTATGTTTTTTCAGACAACAACGAGCTAGGCCTATTATCATAGATCCTGGCTTATATCACTCAAAAAAATCTGGTGTATTTTGGGCCAAAGAGAAAAGATCCGTGCCTGTTTCTTTCAAGCTATTTACAGGTATTTCCTGAAATTTTACTTTGAACTATTGCGTTTAGTTTGTTCATTCTCCATATTCAAACCTTTGTCTATTGCTAGTGACGCAAAGATCGCTATTCTACCTTGTGTCAAATTATCTAAATGAGATATGGATTTTATAATTCAATCAGATTGGAAAGTCTATTAACTTGAAAAATTGTCAGTGCAGCTTCTCAGTAATGGGAAGTTAGTTGTTAAAAGGAAACTGCAACCTCCACGGCGTTCTGTATTGTTGAAAAGTTTAGGCATTCACTATCCTTGTCTGTGCTACCCTTTCTTGCTTGACGTCTTAATCAATTTCTCATATTCGCCAATAAAAGTATGTCTCACAGATAGGTATACCTGTCAGTTGATATTGATCAGAGCAAGTTCAGTCTTCGAGCACTTTCTCGATTAGAGCTAGAGGCTTTATGATACCATGCATTTAGTACTTGTAAAGGTGTAATTCATTATCCAGTTGGCACGGGTGGGTCATTGTCTATATGGAACTATCACCAGCCTTTTCTGGTCATTTTACACTTAAAACTTTAATGGAATTGAAACAGAGCTGGAGATTTTACTGATCGACAAGATATCTTGTTCAGTTTGTACCTAGGTTCAAGTTTTGCTTGACGGTAATTGCTAGGTTTTGAGATATGACTTCTAGTTGTGTAAAATTGAAAGTTACTAAAAAGTTTCATTTTCTATTCAGTCAAAATCAAACATTAATTTCAATCACAAATTCACAAGTACTACCCATTTGTTGATCATACATTTCGTGGCACCCATTACTATTCTTCATAAAATGTTACTAATACTTTTAACAGAACGCTCACATTTTTATATTGCTTTACTACTTTTTAACTTGGACCTGGTATTTGTATGGGACACTGGGTACTTGAAAAACATAGTAGTTTCGATGTAGATATTAGAAAAATGATCATCACAGTAAAAATAAGATTGCGATTCACTTCTTGTTAGATTACAGCATGACTAGTATATATTTTGAATATAAAAGTAATTTACATTTTTGAATATCATCTGTTTTCTTCTCTCACGAGTGATATGCTTCAGTGGTTTTCCACGATTCTGCTTGTGTGTTTAAATGTCTTATTATGCATGTGCCAACTGATAAAAGTTAATAAATCAAGGCAGTAATGCCGAACAAAAGGAGGAAGTAACTTGGAGCTAAAATATGGCTATAGGTTGCTGATGGAATCATGGCTGTAAGCTGAGCTGCTTGATTAAGGCAGTAACAATGAGCCAAGGAAGAGCACTGTTAAGCTGCACGGTAACTTAGATGATGAAATCTAGTAAATCGAGCACCCACCTTGTTATATTTGAGCTCCAATGGCTAGTTGCTTGTCGCTGATTGTTACACCCTTGATTCAGGGGAGATCCATTTTGCTTAGTTAGGCCTTACCTAAACATGGCATAGTGAATTGTCGGAAACTGCATTTTGAAACTATAGTAGCAGCTCTATGCATCATAGTTACTTCAGATCATATCATTAATCTATTAATCACACACTACATCATGTGTATTATGAAATTGTGGCTCTGCGGATAGACAATAGATATTTATGTTAAGTTGGGGCTACCACAAATTATACCCTTTTTTATTGTTATATAGTATCATCTTTCTGCAGGATCTGCATGGATGGTTCTTACAAGATCATTTCTCGAGTTCTGTATTTGGGGATGGGATAATCTCCCACGCACTCTTCTCATGTACTATACAAATTTCCTGGCATCCCCAGAAGGCTACTTTCACACTGTTGCATGTAACCACAAGGACTATCAAAACACTATAGTGAACCATGATTTGCATTTTATGAAATGGGATGATCCTCCAAAGGAACTGCCAATCAATTTGACAAAGGAACATTTTGACGAAATGATCCAGAGTGGAGCCCTTTTTGCTCATAAGATCGCAAAGGACGACCCTGTCCTTGATAAAATTGATAAGGAAGTCTTGAGAAGATCTGATGGCCGATTGACACCAGGAGGTTGGTGTGAAACTTGGGGACTCAAAAAAGATCCATGTGTGGTACACGGGAGTTCAGATACAATTACGCCATCTGTGAGTTCAAAAAGGTTGGAGAAACTAGTACTTAAGCTTCTTGATTCCGAAAATTTCAGGTCAAAACAGTGTAAATGATTATGAAATGTCATAATTTGTTCATGAATCTTTTCACTGTGGTACTTTGGGGATTAGCTTCCCATCCTATTACCTTAAAAAATGACAGGGATTTGGACATAAGATCTTGAATATACATACAACTCAACTATTTCTTCCATTTTCTACATTTTTAATTTTTTTGTTTAAAAGACTTTACCTTATTTTTAAAAAAACAAAAATTTCTTTTTTTCCCTTAATTGAAAAAAAAAAAGAAAAAGAAAGTTAGTTCGACGATAATGGAGACTACTATTGGGTGTTATATTTATTTTCAAGTTTAATTAATAGATTACGTGCTCAAGCCTTGTTTGAGCCTCATTATTTGGTCAAAAATGAATTTTTGAATGGAGATTGATGGATAAAGTATGGTTAAAAAATAAAGAAAAATTTTGGATTTGTGTGTAATATTTATTAAAAATTGTGTGATTAAGAAGAAGAGAGAAAATATATTTTAAAAAAAATAGGGATCAAACAAGAGCCAAAATACTCGTCAGTTAAGTATATTATTAGTTTATTACCTTTTGAGTCTTTGATTAGATATCGTTATTAGAAAGACTTTTCAAATAGTAAATTGTAAGTTTTTAAAATAGTTTTAAATGTCGAAATATTAAAGTATACTAATGTAAATCAGTCTAAATTGTTGAATTATATAGAAATAAATTAAACCATTATTAATGTAAAAAAAAAAAAAAAAAACCCCATCAATTTTTATATATATATTTTCGTATTAAACAATACCTAATAAGATTATTTTAGATTAATATTGTTAACTATTAAAATATATAATAAATTTAATAATGTAATAAAAGGTTATTTAAATACACATTGGCTGAAAATTATTATTCGTTTAGTTTATAAAATAAATTAAATACTAAAAATATTATTATTTTTTATTTAAACAAAAAATATTCAAACTGTGTATCAATTAAATCAATCACTCGCTTTTAAACTTCCAGTTTATTAAACGATACTTTAAACAATAGTTGGCAAAAATTATTATTCTGGTAGTTCATTACATAATTTCAAATATCATAAATTAAAAACGTGCTTCTAAATTTCTAAATTACTTTAATTAATTATTATTCAAATATGTAAGAATTTAACTGCAATTTATTAAAAAATTCATAATTTAATTTTTTTTGTTGAAACCATAAAAATTGAAAAAACTCATTATAGATACATTTTATAAAACATATATGTTATAAATAACGAACTTGAATAAATTAAGAGGATCCACTTTTACACGTGTGTCAATGAAAATCAACTTTTATACGTATTTTACTTGCTTGTGTATATATATATGGTGTAAGGATAGGTGCATTATGTGCAAATACAATCATTCCACATTAATATCAAGGTTGAAATAAATTTGGACATAATGTCACGTGAGATTTTATCATTCGACAGTTTATAAATCATAATCAGCTTTTTCATCTAATAATTTACTATCGCATGCAATTATATGAAGTTTTCTATCAAATACTTCTAGCAAATTAGCTTTATCCGTGCAAGTAATGGCATGGGGGAGAGTAGTGATGGGGCGTAGGGTAAGGTAGGGTAGGGTAGGGAACCGAACGGACCGGTGCTGATAAAAGTTTCATTCGGTCGTGTTTCCACTAAAACACCCCCAAGACTACTCACATTTCCTTTGTATAAAATAAATTTCAAGATTTCTTTAATCATTTTCTTGAAAAGTAACATTAGAATTAAGCCATAGTTTGCTTAATGCTTATATTAAGCTGAGAAGCACTCTCAATCACACTACTATTTCCTTGCAATCAGAGCGGTGCCACCACAGAAGTTAAAACAAAAGGCTAAGTAATTCATAAAATTTTGCCCTTTCAAAAACCCCAAAAAACAATAAAACAAAAATAGACAGACTGAAAACAAATTAGTACTTCTTGTTGCTGTTGTGTGGTGTGTGTGTATATATATGCACATTCATAAAGCTCCCTCCTTTATTCTCATTCTCCCTTTATTATCTTCTCTCTCTAGAGAGTTGATGTGATTCTCCACTATACACTCCCAAAAACCAAATAACCTTTAAAAAAGAGAGAAAGATCAATTAAGAACAATGGTTTTTTCTTCAATTTCAGCATATCTTGATCCATCCAACTGGCAGCAGGTAAGGGTTTTCTTTGATATATCATATGTTTCAATGGCTTCTTTGAAAAAAGCAATTTGCAAAAGATAAATATTCCCATGCCTTTTTTGTTTATCTCTTGTTCTTTATTTTTATTTTCTTGATGTCTTTGTTACATCTTTAATTTTGTTGAATATACCAGATGTTTCATTTCTACTTTCTAATTTTTGCAGCAACAAAATCATCAAATTGGAGGTAGCAGCACAAACCCTTTGCTTCCACCATCTGCTTCACAGCCTGTGCCCCCACCTCCACCACCCCCGCAGCCTCATGCCGGTGGTGGCACAGGATCAGTCCGTCCGGGCTCCATGTCTGAGAGAGCCCGGTTAGCTAACATACCGATGCCTGAGGTCGCCATGAAATGCCCTCGATGCGAATCAACGAACACTAAGTTCTGCTATTTCAACAACTATAGTCTCTCCCAGCCAAGACACTTTTGTAAGACCTGCAGAAGGTACTGGACTAGAGGTGGCGCTCTTAGAAACGTTCCAGTGGGAGGTGGCTGCAGGAGAAATAAAAGAAGTAAATCTAGTAGTTCAAAGTCTCCTGCGAGTAGTGATAGGCAAACCACCTCCAGCTCCACCAGTACTGTTTCCCCTAACAGTGGAGCGGCGCCTAATATATTCGGCCTCAATCCCCAACTTCCACCTCTACGATTTATGTCTCCTTTGAGTCAACTTACTGATAACTATACTAGCGGTGATATTAACCTAAACTACAGTGGAATCTCTGCTCCCATGGTAGGGACAAGTGAGTTGAACTTTCCTGTAGGAAACAGTCTACTTGGTGGCGCCGGCGGCAGTATTGGTGGAGGGATGGCTTCCCTTCTATCAAGTGGCGGTGGAGTTGAGCAGTGGAGGTTGCATCAACTACAGCAATTCCCTTTCTTGAGTGGTTTGGACCCATCACCGGCTGGACTTTACCAATTTCAAGGTGGTGTCGAGCAATCAGGCTTTGTTGGTGAAACTAGTCAGATGAGGCCTAAATTTTCAAGTTCAATTCTAACTCAGATGGCATCAGTAAAAATGGAAGACAACCCAGAGTTGAATTTGTCAAGGCAATTACTGGGGATGCCAGCAAATGATCAGTGGAATGGTGCTGCTAATTGGACAGATCTTTCTAGTTTTAGCTCTTCTTCCACAAGCAACCCCTTATAGAAACTACACTAGCTTGAGTTTTTGATCTGCAGTTCCTTGAAACAAAATTTACATCAAGATTGAAAGATTCCAGGGTGACTACCGGGTCATTTTATCGATCAACTGAAAAACCCTAGAATTGGTAGGTTGTTTTTTTTTTTTATTATTATTTATTTTTGTTATAGGTTTTTCTGTACTCGTTTAACAATGCTGTGTGTTGAGTTGTTATAGCTTTATTTTAGACACTGAGATCTAATGTTTTCCAAGAATGATTTTAATGTTCATTGTATTTCTCTGCTAACAGTTGACATGGGTTTTCGTTTGGGAGAGACGAACATTGATGAATGATTAGGTTTTATTCTCGTCAAATTGTCCATCCACGTCTGTATGTAAAACGAAGCTCTGAATGCGAAAATCAACCTTAAAACTTGCTGGAAAATGAAAAGAACTAAAATGAGGAAACGTTTTTACTTGTATGTGACCTTTTCTTTTATGCTTTTATACCAACTCAAGTAATTAGAATCAACTTTGTAACTCCACTAAATATAATTACTGATCCATGCATATACATTTGCACTTTAAGTTCGTTTTGATCATGAATTCATGATTGCTAACCTTGGATTATTTCTGTTGATTAAAGAATCATGTTTTGCTGTTTGAAAGTAAGGACAAATATTTCTGTTGATTAATTACCAGCATCAATGATATTTTCATTTCATTATATGGGCAATTACAAGATTAAATTGGCTTATACAAATGTGAAATTATACATTTTTCATTTTTGGGAAAGAACTTGCGCGCCCTACTATTCTTTCGATGTATTAGTTCCCTACATTCCCAGCTACTTACTTACTTCCAGAAAAATCTACCTTGAAGGAAGGAAGGAAGTTAGTTATAGTCAGGTGGTCATGTTTATTTTTTTTCTTAAACGAATCGATAGATCACAGGCAACAGAATGGAATGATTCCATAATAATTTATACTAATTGTCAAGAAATTACTATGTCTGTTCTGTTATAATTTGACTGATCGATGCTGTTTTATAGAGACGACAAGAGTCTCAAAAGACGCCAAAATGGTCAATAAATTTCATACAAAAAACCCCAGAAACCAAAGTGGTTGGAATTCTCCCAAGAATCACGTAAAGACTGCATAAAATCAGAGTCAAAGATGAACACAACAAGTCGAAGAAAGACTTTGCACGTATTTCAAAGCTCAACATTGAACATTGTGTTGTGACGCTCCTTGTTTACTTCGCTCTTACATGCTTCTGACAAAAATTATAAAACTCATTCTTCACAAAAAATGGTTGAGAGAGAGCCAAAATCTAATGCGTATTTGGTTCAATAATATATATAATGTACGTACGCACTAGAAACCGTGCAACTTTCTAGGAGTTTGGGCATGCTCTGTTCTTTCATTTTCTTCTATGATTTGAACCAATCTTGGAATCTCAATTTTCAAGAAAATGTCCTATTTTGCTACTTTGGGAATTTTTAATAGTATCACCCCGAGTAACATGCTATGTTACACTATTGGCATCAATTGATATGTCATTTCAATGTGATCCATGATTCTACGCTGTTGTGGAGCACATGTCGTACTTACCACTAGTTTATGGGATAGTGAGACCATCGTGACACTGTCGATGAAGTGGAGATGTATTTTTATTAATTGATAAATATGATAGTGGTTCCATTGTTACATAAACGAGTGCTTAGAAATTTTAGTTCTACGTAGCAGTACTATTGAAATTTTTTTATTAATTGATTTTTTTTATACATTTTCTCAACTAACGAAATTTCGTTCATTAAACAATCACATGAAAGTATTTTATCAAAGAGGACCAAAGATGAAAACGCGTTTATGCAACCAAACACCCCCTAAAATAGTAAGATAATTTATTTAATTTGCAGGATGCCTTTCATTTACTATTTATGGCACCCTAACTAGCTAGTGGCCAAAACCCAAAATTACTCACAAAACGAAAATAAAAATAGGTAACTTTAGCTATTTAACACGATACATGAAAACGTTGTTTAAAAAAAAACGTTTTAACATTTTATAGTTAAAGCAATGCCCACAACAAAGTGAAAATTATAGTCAAAGTTTTCAAACATTTTGGTCAAAAGTAGTTTCATTAAAGTTCCCAAATTTTGTTAAAAATTTGTCCAAATATTCCTTCCATTCAAAAAACTATTTTTGTTTCTCCCTGCAGAAAGATATATACAGCTAGGAACACTGCCTTTCTCAGGCTAAACCATTTTTATTTTTTATTTCAATTAATTTAATTGTTACTCGTAACATTAATATTGTTCAGGTTCAGACGGTTTAGCCCCGGTTTGGTTTGAATTAAAATTTCAAGTCAAAGTCAATAATTAATTTTAATCAAACATTTCATCATCTTTTATTAAAATCTACTAAAAATCTAATTTTAATCCTTCACGAACAGGAATCTAGGAGCAGTAAGTAGAATTAGTAGGAGTGGAATTCCTCAATCTGAAAGAAAGGAATCTTTGATAAATCACTTTTGTAAGAATCAAGGTGTGTGCTTCACAACAAAGAATAAAGCGCCTTCTCTTACGTCCCCGTTAAATAAAGTCTCTCTCTCTCTCTCTGCGCGTACCCAAGAAAAAGGGTAGACAATGAACAATGATATATTGATTCTTGATTCTTGGATGAGTAATTTGTAGGAAAATCCTCAAATGATATCGAGATTGTCTATACATAGTTTCTGTTTGATGGGGATTAAAATCAGATTTTAATAAAGTTGATGAAATGTGTGGTTGAAAAATTGTAGGTCTCATGAAATATGAGTTAAAATTAATCGTTGATTTTGAATTAAATTTAAATTTTGCATAATCAAAATACGTGTCATAAAAATATTTGAACAATATCAAAGAAACTCAGTTACCCTTCTTACAATATCAGACACACTCCATCAATCTAAGGGCCTGTTTGATTCATCCAAATTTTTCATGGAAAATGGAAAACAAATTCCAACTTCCAATTTTGCTTTAGTTGATACACTTTTTTTCTTGGTTTTGTGGAAAATCAATTTCCATCAATTTGGTGGAAATTGATTTTCCATTTTTTTTTTTTTTTGTAGTTGGAAAAAATTCTAGACATAATGGTAAAAAAATTTATCACTTTTATTGACAATTTTTATGCAAAATGAAGCCAAACAAATTGTATTCAGTGTAGTAATTTTGTTAAAAAAAAATTTGGCGGTTGGAACAAATTCTAGACCAAATGGTAAAAAAATTATTACTTAAATGGACAAATTTCATGAAAAAGAAGCCAAACGGATACCAAACTTTCAACATTTTTCAGGTGAAAAATTATACCAATCAAACACAATTAATTATAATTCACAGTAAAACAAATTCTAAACAATTCAATTCCCTGTAATTTATTTTATTTTCATCCAAATTCCACATTTGCAAATAAACGAACCCTAAAATAAGGCAAATTACTTGAAATTCTATGCGAAGAAAAGATGAAACTTTCTGATTGTGTGAAATTTAAATTGTTCGAAGTAAATTACAAGAATATAAATTGGCACGTTATATAGAGCTGATTCGACATATTTTAAATTCCAATAATATAATTTATTTATCTTATTTTGAAATATCGCCATGATTAATATATCACATTAACTTAACATTCTATTATATAATAGTATCATTATTTAATATTAGGTGTATAATGTTTAATGAACTAAAATATACTATTTTTAGCTAAATTTTACTTGAATTATGAAAAGGACATCATCTTATTTTATTTATAAATTTATATATGAGTTCTTATCATAATTTTCATTTGGTAATAATCAACTTATAAAAAAAATTAACTAATTAAAAAACAATAAGGCATTATTTCCTAATTCTTCAACAAAATTTGGGTTTAAATTTTCACTAACGTGCATATATGGAATTGTCAGCGTAAATTCTTTAAGTATATTTTAATTATTAAAGGACACATATTAAATTGTAACTAATTGTAGAAAAAAAATCATTTTTTCTTCACAATGATATTTTAGGCATATCAACTTCATTTTAAATTATGAGCTTGTTTGGTAGGATGTATGGGAGGGATTAAAATCGGATTAAAATTGAAAATATAGCCGTTATTGTTGACTTTTATTAGACGAGTGGGACCCAATAACAACCATATTTTCAATTTTAATTGGCTTTTAATCCCTCCCGAACAGGGCCTAATATTGTAAAAAAAGGTGGTGTCTCTAAGTTTCTAAATATTTTTTAATAATCTACCAAGAGGACATAAGAATGTTGGCTCGGAAATTCAAGCTAGATCTTGCCATCTTCATCACTTCCAATAAAACCCTAAAACTCTCTCTCTCTCTCTCTCTCTCTCTCTCTCTCTCTCTCTCTCTCTCTCTGTGTATAGAGGTACAGAATGCAGCTTTCACTTTTACAATGTTCGTTATAGCAGCCCACAATCACTCACGCTGAGATTCGAAGGTGGTGATAGTCCTCACGTTACCCCTTCTGTATTCAATAATATACATGTGCCGTGGAATCTGATTCATTTCCGAGTCCCACATCACATCTTAACAAATTATTATGCTATAATCTAGTAATCTACTTATTTTTACCCACAATTATAAGTTAGTTTAAGAGTTTGGAACTTTTTTGGAAACTAATTTGGACGTGATTTTCAACTTTTACAAATACCTAATAGCAGAATACATATTAGAGATTTCTCATATACATCTTATACTCCAATATTTATAAATTATTATCATCAAAGTAGGAAAATTCATAATTTTTGTGAGAGAATGAAAGGGGACTTGCAAGAATTCAATCAAATGGAGATTCAAACTTGATTTTTTTTTTTGGGCAAATGAGAGAAAGCGCAAGTGGAGATTTATCAAAAAACCATTGNTTTTTTTTTTGGGCAAATGAGAGAAAGCGCAAGTGGAGATTTATCAAAAAACCATTGAAGATATTCAAGATTTCAGAATTCATCTTCATATTCTCAATTTATCAAAATTTTGAA